AGTATAAATTATGAATTAACTGACCCCCAAAATACACATACAAGTACAGCTGACTGCCACATCACACTGGTAGGAAACACAGAGCCACGGCATGCTTCCCCAGAGAAAGTGGGGCCCAGCGGGGTGCCAGGAGCCTCTGCCACTTTCTCCCATCCTCAGCGAGCACGGATCCTGCTACTTCGCTTGGAAGGCCACGCCAGACCACACGTTTGCTCCTCCCCTGCAGCACCTCCCGTGACCAAGGCTCCCATGGGACCAAGACACCATCACCTTCACAATCTTGATGGGGCTCATGTCCATGCTCTGCTTTGTGTGCCCTCGCAAGAACGGCGGTTCCTCCTCTACAAGTTCGATTTCTAGGTCCTCATCTAGCAAAAGGAATAGAGCTCAGTGTCAGACATGTCATGATTTACAGTCAACACTCCTTTTACAAACCTCTTTCTACACCAAACACAGCAGGGGCTGCCCTCCAGCAGTCTCTTGGCCCACCCCCCTCGCCCTACTGCCAAGCCTCCCCCCTCCTACCCTCCTTCCCAGGCCTCATCTCAGAACCACCACCACCCCGCTTCATTAGCACGCTGCGGCCGTCCTCAGCAGGGCAGGGAAGAGTGGGGCTCTCCAGTGGCCGGGCTTGCTGGGCAGCTGCTCAGAGGGGCCTCGCCTGAGTTCCCCAATGGTGTGCCTGCATGGCCAGCAACAAACGCCAGACGAAGCGACCCTGCGGTGCCAGGAGTCTGAAATATCACAGAGCCCAAACACCCCTTACCTTCCTCGTCATCCACTTTTGGCAGGATCCCCGTTTCCTCATCAAAGTCAGGGAACTCCTCCTTGGAGAGCACATTGGCAGCAATCATCTGGAAAGGAAAAATGGAAGCCCCGGGGCTCGTACTCATTCACAAGTGTGGGTGCCTCGTTTTGGACCACAGGCTTCGGTTTGAGGGTGTTTTGAAAAAGAAGTTAGAACTGTAGTAGAATGAACAGTCCGTGAGGGCACCTTTGTAATGGGATAGTCCACTGCAATGATTATTGCCGGCACCACCTCACTGTACGGTCTTGTAAACCACTTTCTGTATCGCTTATAGTTTTGTCTGCACTATTGTCTTATTCTGTAGTTCTAGTCCTACAGCTATGTTCATTGGTTGTTTTATGCTGTTTGATTGCATTGTTATAATATTTTGTAATCTGCCCTTGATTCTGATGCCCACAACACCCCTCCGCGCCCTGGTGGTTTCCGGCCAGAGAAGAGCTTATCTTGGGCAAACCCCTTGGTGTGCCGGACCTCCCGCCCATACGACCCTTCCACCAAATCTGATTCGCCTTAATCTTAAGAGAAAGTGCAGTCTTGTGTATTTAGCTATGTTAGGAGACCTCCTTTCCACTGCTTGCATTTTCCCATTATTGGCAGGGTTAATTAGCAACTGTGAGCATGTATCCAGTTCTTGCCTAACAAAAAGAGTTATGCTACACTTTAAATGAAGCTAGTATAACAGTAAATCACCGTGTACAATTAAACAATATTTGTTGGTTTTTATATGCAATGTTTAGAATTCAATTATTAACAACATTGCAACAGTAACACTACAATATGCAACATAAAGCTTAGCAGTACACACAGAGTAAGACAGTACTAGTCACAGACAAACGACGGAGTTCTAGTACACTATCCGTTTGCGTGTCCTTCTTCAGGTTTGTCATTCTGTAATTATTTCTTCATTAGAATGAAGTGCTGCAAGCCATATTTCAAAATGCTAAGTCTTATACAATTTTTTGAGTACGCTACTGCGCTTAGCTTCTGGTGACAGGGGAGCTCCTATAGCAAGCTCTAATGTGACTGGGAAGCTGCACTGTGACTCCACTGCACTGAGGGAAGCTTAGCCAATTATTATATGCTGTAGACCCAGTCATACTCATCAGGACACCCCAGGCAGGCAGGGGTGGGGAGAGGCGGGGAGGAAGCAACTTACCCTCCGTCTTCTCCTGCCTCCTCCTGGCTGAATGAGGGCCGGAAGCGGGGCGGCCAGAAGCAGGGGGCGGGGCTTCGTCGTGTGCCCCGCCCCCGCACCTCACCCGGGGGAACGGCGATCCCCCGCGATCCCCCCGAATCGACCTCTGACTCTGTATGTACTGCTAAGCTTTATATTGCATATTGTAGTGTTATTGTTGTAATTTTGTTAATAATTGAATTCTAAACATTGCATATAAAAAACAACAAATATTGTTTAATTGTACACGGTGATTTACTGTTTTACTAGCTATTATACACCGTGGTCCTGTTTGTTGTAACACTTTAAATGAAAGCAGGAGCTCAATGAAGTCCTCTGCTTGTTCTTCTGGCAAGAGACCTTGGGCCCACATTCCCTTGTGCTGCAAGAGTCACGTTCCTCTCACGGCCTAACGAGTGGTTTTTGCAGCTGTGTTCAGCTAACGGAGCAAACAGAGCCCTAGATCAGGTGCCAGTCGGGTCATTCTTCACACACCTGGCACCCCGCAGAAAGGGGAAAAGAACATTTGAGGGGGGGGGGGAGGAAGTCAGTCTGCCTCGTCCCCCCCACCCCAAAGCTCCGGAGCCCAGGCTCCCCGGACCCTGCTGCTCACTTCTGCTTTTGTGACTGGCCCTGAACACGGCTGGAGGGAAAACGCCACTCGAACCGGGTCACTCTGCCTACCGCTTTGGGGGTCCCGTACCAGACTCTGAATGTCACAACCACCTCATCGTTCCAGGTGGCCAGCTGTGTTGGCCTGAAGCAGCAGAATAAAGCAAGAGTCCAGGGGCAACTTTGAGACCAACCACAAGAGGGAGGCTCAGCTGCGAGAGAGAGGAAGAGGCCATCTGGTGGTGGTCTCCTGCCGGCTCAGACCCAGGAAGCTGAGTGACTCACGGGAACTCCGGCATTTGCTAAGGGCACAGCTAAAGCCTCGGAGGTAGCCGGGATGCAGAACAGCGGGAGGGACTTCCACCTGCAGCCAGTGTTCCCTCTAAGCTGAGTGAGTGTGAGCTAGCTCACAGTTCTTTAGCCTCCAGCTCAGACATTTTTGCCTTGGCTCAGGAAGGAGGGCTCCAGAGCAGACTAATTTATGCAGCAGCCAAACCGCTCGCTCACAACTTTAATGCCAGTGGCTCACAAAGTAGGATTTTTGCTCACGAGACTCCACAGCTTAGAGGGAGCATTGCCTGCAGCCACAGCTCCCAGGTTGCAAGGGACGATCAACAGGGAGTCACCACGGGGGGGGGGGGAGTCACCTGCTTGATTTCCCACTTCTCTGGGTCTGAAATACGGGTGAGGCGCTTCCGCTCCAGCGCATCGTCTTCCACCTCAGGGGCGCTGACCAAGGACAGATGAGTAGGCCGGTCAGGGTTCCTCATGGCCGTCTCCTCGTTGGCCTCTCCGACCAGGTTCCGGCGTCTGTTGGGGTTCAAGTCTTCCCCCGTGTCTTGATCCACATCCTAAGGCAAATCAGACACAAATCTGGCATCTCCCACAGATCAAATGGGGATCTGGTAACTAGACTGGCCAGTCGCCTACGGCAAGCAGCACCAGCCCACGCGACCACGCGACCGAGAAAGAGGGAAGGGCCCCAAACTGGCTGCAAAGGAGGGGGAGGCCAGGTATATTGCTACCTCCGTGTTATTATATGCTAGTAAGAGACACCTGTATTGCTACAGTGAAGCATTTCAGGCTTGGAGAGGAAAAGAGGCTCTCCCGGGCAGCTGGGGGAAGACCCACGGCATCACGCCCCGAGAGCAAGAGAGCGCGAGAGAAGCATCGCGGGAGAGACCGGTGGGATCTCCTGGATCTTACCTTCATGCTGAGGCTGGTTTTGGAGCCAGTGAATGAGAGCACTTTGACCTTTACCCTCTGGCCTTTGCTGACCACATCAGCCACGTTGGCCACACGACCCTCACGGCGCAGCTCTGAGATGTGGACAAGCCCTTCCCAGCGCTTCCTGAAACAGCCACGGAGAAAGAGGGCAGAAGAGACAGTGAACATGTGTCATGCCTCGAGTTGGTGTTTTAAACTGCAGCAACCCCCACCATCCAAACGATGGTCCAAGGTGGCGGGGAGTAGCAATCCCTGCGACCAGCCCATCTAATACCGGGACCTGCAGACTTACAGCTTGAGCACAGCACACTTGCGGCTAAAACTGCAGTCATGGACAGACCAAGCTGAGCCCCAGCTGTTTATAGGCCTGGTTTTGTTGCAAGAACCGGACGGCTCGGCAGCTGTCTGGCCACATATAGCCAATGGGCCACGATGCCCAGGCATCTTCTAAAATAATAAGTGTACATCTAGTTCCTTTAAGAAAGTAGCCATGCCATTTTATACCCATAAATGGGTTAAAGTCATTTTCCCTGCTCCAGAATTTTAGAAGAAGAGAAGATTGGATTTATACCCTGCCCTTCACTACCCAAAAGTGTCTCAGAGCGGCTTACAAACTCCTTTCCCTTCCCCTCCCCACAACAGACACCCTGTGAGGTAGGTGGGGCTGAGAGAACTCTTGACAGAAACTGCTCTTTTTCAAGAACAGCTGTGCCAGAGTTATGGCTTGCCCAAGGTCATCCAGCCAGGTGCAAGTGGAGGAGTGGGGAATCAAACCCGGTTCCCCCAGATTAGAGTCCGCGCACTTAACCACTACACCAAACTGGCTCTCGATAATATTTAAATTTATCAGAAATGGAACCTTCAAACTGGAGAATTTCCTTGCTTGTGAACTGCCCTTCTATTTAGATAGATTCAGGGAGGTGGCCGGGTTGGTCTGAAGCAACAGGGGAAAAAAGTGTGAATCCAGAGGCCCCTATAAAACCAACCAGGTTTGCTTTGCATGGACATGAAAGCTTATACCTTGAGCAAAACTTGGTTAGTCTTAAAGGTGCCAATAGACTCTTTGTCCTGCCCTTCTATTGGTCTGCCTGAGCGGGATCCAGGCCCTTGGGGGGAACGCCCCTCCGTCCAGCCGGAGGCAGCTCCTTTTACAAAGAACAAAGCTTCCGTCTCCCACTTCCAAACTGAACTCTGTAAGGGCAACAGGCCTGTCCACAGCCAACCAAGTGATCCCCCCACACACACACAGCGTATGAACTGTTTTTGTGGCTAAAATAAAAACATTATTATATGAAAAACAGTTCATATAATAAAAGGTATGGCTTCTGGTTTTTGGAATTGCAAAACTGGGCACCACCTGGAACCAAGTGGCAGCCCGTGACCCTCTGCTGAGGTACACCTGGCACTGGATACCTGAGCCCTTCAAGTTGGACGAAACAACCGAACTGCATGATGCTGGTGACTTTGCCGTTATAGATGTCGCCGATGGAAGGCTCCTCTGGAGGAGGTCGGTCCACGTGTTTATCCCTCCACCGCTCACCACCCTTCTCTGCGGGCTTCTCCCGCTCCTTGCGGTCTCTGCTCAGACTCCTGCTTCGGGAGCGGTGCCTGGATTTACCCTTATTCCGTTCTTGTGTCTCGGAGCGGGAGGACTTTCTGTGGCACTTTCGAGCCCGGTCTCGACTACGGCTGCGACTCCGCCGCCTTTTCTTTGTACTAAAAACAAAAAGGGATTGTTGGCACAACGGAAGAGGTCAGCCCTGCTCAGTTTATGGTTGAGAACACTTGGGAGAATTCGGCTTGAAAATCCTGATAGGCAACTGCCTGCCTTCACAGGGGCAGGTAAGTGGCCACCTTTCTACACCCAAGGCTCAAAGAGGGCAACAAGTAAGCAAAATGTGCTCAAGCGTGTCAAGAAACTGGCTCAGCGAAGCAGTCTCTTGTCTATTCAGAAACACTGGTTCAGGCTGAGGCCTAGTAAAAATCACAGAGGCGTCTCTCTCGGAGGACTTGAGGTCAAGCAGACTGTGGGTTCACGAGAGCGAGACACGGGATATGGGTGCTGGTCAGACCACGAGGCCCAGCTGTTTCAAGGCCAAAGAATTTGGGAGTCTCACTGGTGCGGGGGGGACCCTTGGGTGGGAGGAGGTGCTTGCTTGACTAGGCCCTATACAGCTGCAGACAACATGGCCTAATTATGGCAGCTCACCTGATCAGTTGAGTCACCTGGTTAGCAATACAATTGATTGGTCGAGTTACATCATTTGTTACACATTTGATAGGTCAACTAGAAACCTGCCTGCATGGGTTGTTAGGCATAAAGGAAAGATCTTTCACTCTAGTTTTGTCTGGATTACGTCTAACTTTGGGACACCTCTTGATTCTAGGTGGGCCATGCTGACTAGAGCCCTTGTTTCGAACTCCAGGCTTTGTTTGAGACAATCTTGCCAGACAGCATCCGGATCTAGAGAACCAGTGCTTGTAAATGAGCTTAGGTTACACATTATTGTATCCCTACCGTTCACTGCTCACATATGGCTATTTTCCTGAACATTTTATTAATAAATCTCATTAATTATACTTTCTGTGTTACATAAGAACATAAGAGATGCCAATGTTGGATCAGGCCAAAGGCCCATCCCGTCCAACAGCCTTTGGATTGCTCTCCCATTCGCCTTTCCAGACATGGTTAATGTCAGAAATACCAGTGCCATCAGGAGGTCCACCAGTGGGGCCAGGACATTAGAAGCCCTCCCACTGTTGACCCCCCCCCCCAAGCACCAAGAAAACAGAGCATCCCTTGCCCCAGTCCCTATCTATACCTTGTGGCTAATAGCCACTGATGGACCTCTGCTCCATATGCTTATCTAATTCCCTTTTGAAGCCGTCCGTGCTTGTAGCCGCCACCACTTCCTGTGGCAGTGAATTCCATGTGTTAATCACTCTTTGGGTGAAGAAGGACTTCCTTTTATCTGTTCTAACCCGACCGCTCTGCAGTTTCATGGAGTGCCCACGTGTTCTTGGGGCTTCTGAATCCAGTTCTTTAGCCCCAGCTACCAGAATAACCGTTTTCTGGAACTCAACTTTCAAGCGTCCTACCTTCTGGGGCTCACCTCTTGATCTTGGACCCGGGAGAGCTAGCAACTCAGTCCCTTAGTCTCTGGCTGGCGAGTTAAGTAAGGGGACTGGTGGTAGTGTTACCCTGGGGGTGTGAGGCTTCACACCTCAGCACTTTGTGGTTTTGTCTCTGGCCAACGTCTCACCATTAAAAGCTTTCGACAAAGTGCACCACATACGTTACAGCAGCCCCTTTCCTTACGGGCCAGCATAGAAGCTAAGAGGCCAATGGCCTTTACCTCCGGGTTGTTTTGAGGATAAAATGAAAAGCAGCAGCCGCAGCAGCACAGAGAGGCCTCTGTGTCCAGGCAGGATTAAAGAAGGCTGCAGGCACAGTCCGCTGTCGGCACTTCTGCGCCTGCAGCACTCAGCAGCCTGCCCCTCCCCTCAGGCAACCCAGAGCAGCTGCCACAAGGGGCCCACAAGGAAAGGGTTCCTAGCCGAGCTCCAGTCAGCCAGGCCAGCTGCAGGCACACGGGGAGAGAGCCCGGCCTTCTCAGAGCAGCCAACCACAGCGGAGCCTTAGACCAGGAGGGCGAGGGAGAAGAGTCAGTGTCAGGATGGTTCGCTGGGACGTCCTGCTCCAGGATCGGAAGGCGGTAGAAACTACTCGGCTACAAGAAAATCCCTGCAGAGGCATGCTCTGGCCAGGTGGTGGCAGTGTGGCGATACGACATACGGGTCCTGAAACAAACACCTCAGACCAGAACACGCTGGGTGTTACACCACATCCCAGCTAACGTTCTCAGCAGAATCGCCTCTCCAGTGCACGGTCTCTCTGAGTCTCTACGATTTGCTGCCAATCCTCCCCGGTGTTGTTGGTTTCCTTCTTTTATTTTGCATTACAATCATCCCCCAAACTCCCACGTGCTTCCCATCAACTAAGTCCCCCATCTGTTTCCCGTGTTTTCTCTAATCCCCGTGCTCTGACCATAATGTTTCTATCCCCTTAACTCCTGAAGCCTTGGGCTGAGTTGTAGAAGTATCGGTCTGATCGGTAACCCCTGCGGGCGCACCTACATTGAATGGTAAGGTCCCTCTGTCCCTCCCTCGAGCACGTCCTTTCCTGACCTGTTGGGGCTTCTGACCAGGGCCGCCCCGCTCCCCAAATATGCCTCCTGAATCCTGTTCCACATTGTGCCGCTTCGAAGAACTCGGCGCGGGTCGCGCCAGTCCCACCGTAGCGGCCGATACGGCCGCGGAAGAACCCGCGGCGGGACAGTCAGCAACGGTGCTGGAAGCAGGTGGATGCAGCAGAAGGACAGCTGCAGCTGCCCAGAGACACGCTCGGGAAGGAGAAAGAGGCCACTGGGAGCAGCAGCTGTCAGAGGCAGAGGAAGGTCAGACTGCACTGGCTGGCTCCCTGCAGAACCCCGGGGAGGGTGCAGAATTCTAGGGCCCTGCCCCCACTTCCTCCTCCTGCATTTTGTCACCAACTTCCTCTCCCTGTGGTAGCCCCTTTTCCTTGACTGCCTGGCCTTGCCCTGGGACCCAGAAACTGCGTTGGGGGGTGATAGAACCCCACCGGCATCATTTAGATTGCCGGACTGTCCAGGGAGAGGTCTTCTGAAGGACTGAGCCCAACCTCATCTCCCCACCACCACCACCCCAGTTTTCAGGCCAGGAAAACACCATAGTGACACTCCTTTCCTAGGTACTCTGGCACACCCCTGCCAACAGAGGGGCAACAGACTGGCAGTTCCCAAACCTTTCACAGGCCGCCCCATGGACCAATACAGCTGCCAGCAACGGTTGTCTCCTCTGAGGACCAGAGAGAAGTGGAGGAAGAAAGGTGCCCCCTGCCCAAGGGAAAGACTGTGCCGTTCCCAGCCCCATGGAAATCTCTCCCCCCCCCCCCCCACCAAGAAGCTGGCAAACTGGGAGGGAGCCGGGCTGATCTCTGGCAAAGGAACTCCCCCCCCCCCCACCCCAAATATATTCTATCCTAAGATTAGTCCAGATCTTTCTGCTTTACTTTCTTTTGTTAGGTACCGTCTCCTAATTGCAACCTGTATTTATTCTGCCATTCTAAGCCGCTAGGAAAATAAGGGTTTTCCGGTTAAAAGAATCAAGGATTCTTGTGACAAACACAGACGGTAGGAGAGGCAATTCCAACTTGCAAGAGATAAGGAGCTCTGCCCAACTGGGATATTCTGATTGGGACCCCGCTTTATACACATGCGTTCGTTGCATGTTAACGGTGAGTGTGACCTGCATTTGTTATGATTCATGTGGCCTTTTATTCTAGGTTAGAATGTTTTTTGGTATTGTTTATATATGGTTTCTTGCAGGAGACCTACCTGATTTACCTGACAAAGGAACAGATCTGAAACACTGATTATCCAGAACTGCAAAGTTCCCACTTGGAACAGATCTTATTTACTACAAGCCACAATATATAGAGGTTTGGACTTCAATTCAAGGACACGTGATATTTATATAAACAACTCTTTCCTTTGTGTGCTTGTTCTATTTATGAAGGAAGTCTGCTGCTTTTGAGACATGCTGTGACTTCTTGTGGGTTTCAGTTTGTTACCACCCACCTTTGGATAATTGCTCTTCATTATGTTTGAGATTCTACGACAGTGGTGCCAAACCTATGGCATGGGTGCCAGAGGTGGCACTCAGAACCCTCTCTGTGGGCACACGTGCCATCGCCCCAGCCAGGCCCAGACCATCATTAAAGTGTTGAATTCCCTGCCAAATAATTTTAAGTAAATGAAAGCCTTTGGGATTGCTTTCCTTACTTTGTTTGGATCATCTTAAGTTAATGTATGAGTTGTTTTTTCTAAAGTAAAACCTCAGTATTCAGGTTAAATTGCCATGTTGGCACTTTACGATAATATATACGAGTTTGGCATTATTATTGTCTTTGCTTTCTACATAATTATTGTTGCATTTAATTAGCATGCTCTGACTACAGATTTGTTTGTGATTTCATTGGAGAATAACAAGGGGGCAGCGGCAGCTGACAGAGGCCCCCCCCAAAAAAAAACCTCTGGCAAGGGTTTGGGGGCAGAGAACAAATCTCGCCGGGAAGGCTGGGGTCCCGGTGTGTGATTCCCGCCCCCTGGAAAAGCTCTGCTCTCTTCCAGCTCACTGGCTTGCTGCAAGTGGCCTGGGGGGTGGGGGGCCTCCACAGGGCTGGGAATTTTACGAAGACAACAAGAAGTAACAAGAGAGAAGAGAGCCTGGGTCACACGGGAGGAACTGGTACAAGTCACTGAGGGCAGCTGTGGCTTTTCCTTCTCTTCTGGTCTAGAAGAGGCTGGGCGGGGCCGCTTTCGGTATAGATGATGTCATGCCGCCCTGAGCCCGTTCGCAGGGAGGGTGGGTTATAAATTTAAATAAATAAATAAATGCCTGAGGCTGCTTAAGAGCCTCCAAAACAATGGCTCTTGAAGTTTTGCCACTCTTTCTTTTTTGAGGGGAGGCAGCCTAAAAGAACTTACTGGTGCTCACTATGCCGATGCTGCGCCTGCCTGCCGGTGCCTGGCATTAAAGCTTCGAGCTCCTTTAGGGCATCTGCAGCCACCTTCACATCATCTTCATCCAGCATTGTCTGTGGGAGCAAGAAGAACAGTCCCTCAGTCGGCAGCAGGGAGGTTATTTCAGCATCTCTCTCTCTCTCTCAGTTCCCTTTGGTCACAGAGCCTCTCCTGGCTTGGAGACCAGCAATAGCCAAGAACTCTGGCTTCACATGTCTGGCCCTCAACACGGTTCCAGTCTTTGCCCCTGCAGCCAACACTCTTAGACAGCACTGCCATCTTGTTTCCAACTGGTTGGCTCTGTCTGCCCAGCTTCCTCTGGTCTTCACTAGTGACCTGGGCCTTCCTGCTCCCACACCTTAAGCCCTGTACCCAATAGCCCCCAGCCACGCCCTGCCTGGGTCCTACAGTTGGAAGACACCTAATACTTGCTGAAGACAAGTAAAGATGGGTCTAGGGAACTCCACCCACCTCAGATAGACAACCATGAACTCCGTAACAGAAGAAAGGGGAATTTAAGTGCCATAAAGAAATGCATGCTCAGAACTGAGAGCAGATAGTAAGAAAGTACACACCTACCCTGACTGTGGGATTGTCTGGTCTACAGAGGGCTGGAAACAATTCCTTCAGCTTCTCCTTTTCTGTTTTCGGCTTAACAGCATCTGATTGGATAGGGAAACAAAAGCACACAAAACAAAACACAGAGTTTCGTGGCTAGAAACCTCTGATACTATCTGAATCTCCCAAACATTTCATGTATTTAACACATTTTAGCCCACTCTTCCAAAACACTTGGGTTTGCCCACAATTTAAAAACATCAATATCTCTAATAGTCAACATGGCCACATCTGCAGATACTTAATTCTACCGGTTGTGGCCATGTAGAGAGAGAACAGATTTTTCAACAAATTTGTGGGAACCCACCAAGTTTGCAGAAAAATCCAAAAAAATTAAAATCATGAAGGGGGTTTCAAAAAAAAAACCAAAAGAGAGGGACGTGTTTTCCATCACACAGGCAGGCAACATACACTTACCAGCTATGGGAAGAGGTGGAGGAATTTCATGTATTTAACACATTTTAGCCCACTCTTCCAAAACACTTGGGTTGGCCCACAATTTAAAAACATCAATATCTCTAATAGTCAACATGGCCACATCTGCAGATACTTAATTCTACCGGTTGTGGCCATGTAGAGAGAGAACAGATTTTTCAACAAATTTGTGGGAACCCACCAAGTTTGCAGAAAAATCCAAAAAAATTAAAATCATTGCTTGGCAGGCTGGCTCATCTACCCATTCACCAGCTCCTGGAAGGGGGGCACAACGCAAACGGGTGATGAAGGAGCCGCTGCTGCCACCCACTTCTTCAATCAGGCAGACAGGTTTGCCGGGGGGCAGGGGGGGCTGGAGCCAGCTCCCCACCCCACCTGCTACCGATGCAAGAAAGCAGCATTCAGCCAGGAAACAAAAGCACACAAAACAAAACACAGAGTTTCGTGGCTAGAAACCTCTGATACTATCTGAATCTCCCAAACATTTATCTGAATCTCCCAAACATTTCATGTATTTAACACATTTTAGCCCACTCTTCCAAAACACTTGGGTTTGCCCACAATTTAAAAACATCAATATCTCTAATAGTCAACATGGCCACATCTGCAGATACTTAATTCTACCGGTTGTGGCCATGTAGAGAGAAAACAGATTTTTCAACAAATTTGTGGGAACCCATCAAGTTTGCAGAAAAATAAAAAAAAATTTAAAATCGTGAAGGGTGGTTTCAAAAAAACCCCAAAAGAGAGGGACGTGTTTTTCCATCACACATGCAGGCAACATAACCTTACCAGCTATGGGAAGAGGTGGAGGAACCCAGCGATCCTGCATGCCCTGATGGAGCATGCCCCCCCACCCCTCCTCTGGTGACAGAGGGCCGGCCAGGAGAAGAAATGACAGCCACGGTGGGTGGGGGGGGCAGGAGCCACTGCTGCCCCCTTCAGCCAGCCAGCCAGATGGGGGAGGGAGGTGGGAGACCAGGAGCTCCCAACTGTTGTGTTCCCCCCCCCCATTGCCTCAATGTAACCTGCTTGGCAGGCTGGCTCATCTACCCATCCACCAGCTCCTGGAAGGGGGGCACAACGCAAACGGGTGATGAAGGAGCCACTGCTGCCACCCACTTCTTCAACCAGGCAAATTCTTGTTAAGGCAGAAAACATTCTTAAAGGGCAAAGGGATTTTTCTTTCCCGGGTTTTTGTCAACTCAGTCCTTGAACCTCTGGTACCCAGTGGCACTGGTTCTAGAGACCCATGGAAGAACACAAGCTTATCTCAGCTGGCATCAACGATAAATAAGGAAACAGCTATGGATGCTGGAATCCCGAACACAGAGGTCTTGAACTCCACCACCAACCTCATCAGCTTCGAACAATCTGCACCCACAGATCGACTGGATGACGCTAAATCAAGCTTATGTGGAAACCAGGCAGACAGGTTTGCGGGGGGGGCTGGAGCCAGCTCCCCACCCCCCACCCCACCTACGTACCACCGATGCAAGAAAGCAGCATTCAGCCAGGAGGTGAGGCCAGGAGCTGGTGCGACTCTCTCACGCTGAATCCGGTCCCACAGCGACTGACCTTGGCAGCAGCCCCAATGACACTTTTGGCAGCTGTGACACTCCAGATGGCCAGTGGGCCCCACCCCAAGGGGGGCTCACATGGGCCCACAGACCAGCACCTTCTCCTGTGACTACAGGTTGGGGTGCTTACACCTCAAAAGCTGCCTAAACCCAGCCTGGCAGTGATTGACTCTCCACTCCACAGCATAATTTTGTCAACATACCTACAAGGTTTTAATGACAGGAACACTCACTTTTGCTAGTGGAAGGCTTTGCAGGAGGCCGCATTGTCTGTATGAGACGCAGCAAGTTGCTGATAAGAGAATCCTAAAATATGGGAAGGGGGTAGAAAGAGAATAGAGCAATTCATTTGTTCAGCTAGTTTTATAACACAGCCATCCACACGACAGATGCAATGGTGCAGAAAAAATGAAAACATTCTGGAAAAAACCTGGGGTTTTCCATCCCCCCACCCCCAATTTTTCCAATGGAAAAAAGTGGAAATTTTCAGGGAATACTGAAAAAAAATTCCCATGAAAGATTTCTTTCTGAACGAGTGAAATGCTTTTAAAGAGAAGGTGGGCATGTTGTAGACATATACAGCTCTCAAATCCAAGACACATTTCTGCTCCTAGAACAATACCCAATCTTCATGAGGGGAACACGCAGCACTTTAATTGCTTTTCAGCTGTTGCATACTTTTGGTTGTCCTTCTGACCTCACTTGTGGTTATCTTTTTCATCTCTCCCTCAAACTACTGTAACACACACAACCCAGAGATTGGTAGAAATAAGCTTATTGCCCTACCTTGCAGGAGGGAGCAAAAAAGATCAGAAGAAGGGAACCAAAACCTCAGAGGAAAACTGAAAGTTTCACTGAGAACTCAGATCCCTCTAATCAGACAGCAAAACTGCGACATGTGCAGAGGGTGCATCAGCTTACAGTTTTCTTTCAAGCACGGGGTATTTTTGCAATTTGGCTTGTTTAAAGCTAAGGCATCCTTAACTTTTAAATTCTATAAATACGTGAATATTGCAGTTTTATATGCTATGTAAGTTATAAATGATGTACTCTATGTTGCTAAAGCAATTATATTAGTTTAGGTTTGATAGAACAGTAAACATTACATATATTTCATTTTTTCCTAAAATTTCTGGGGGTTTTCCTCGGCAAGTGTCTGTCCAGTCACTGCTTAAAGACTGCCGGTGAGGGGGTGTTCACCACCTCCCCGGGCAGCTGGTTCCACTGTGGCACAACTCTATCAAAAAGTGTTTCCTAAGATCCAGCCGGTACGTCCCCACCCTTAATTTAAACCCGTTCTTGTGAGTCCTCTCCTCTGCTGCCCAGAGGAACAGCTCCCTGCCCTCCTCTTAAGCGGCAGCCCTTCAAATACTTCAAGAGAGCCATTCTGTCCCCCCTCAACCTCCTCTTCTCCAGACTGAACCTTCCCAAGAGGTCCCTCAGACTTTCCTCACTGGGCTCGGTCTCCAGGCCCCCGATCATCCTCGTCGCTCTCCTCTGCACCTGCTCCATTCTGTCCACATCCCTTTTGGAAGTGAGGCCTCCAGAACTGCACACGAGACTCCAGGGGCAGCCTGACCAATGGGGTGTACAGCTGTCAGTTAACACTGCCATGACTTTGGAATGTGTGGGAGGAGGAGGAGGAAAATTTAGATTATTAGACATCTCTGTGCTCTAAACTCTGTGCCTGTTTTAGCAGACCCTTTCCACATAGGCAAGATCGCTTTATATAAAACCAGTAATCCACACACAGTTTGGTTTCAAATTAAGCATCTTACAAATTCACCCAGCACCATAAGGCATGGAAACTCCTTACATGACCAGGAATCCGAAATTTGAGAATTTAACAATTCTGTGACTGCTCCTCCGGGCCACCCCACTCGCCCCAGTTGGCTTCTTCCAGAAGGCAGACTGCAAGACAGAACTATTCCTAACCTGCCTGCCTAACCTGGTTTCAAATTAAGCATCTTACAAATTCACCCAGCACCATAAGGCATGGAAACTCCTTACATGACCAGGAATCCGAAATTTGAGAATTTAACAATTCTGTGACTGCTCCTCCGGGCCACCCCACTCGCCCCAGTTGGCTTCTTCCAGAAGGCAGACTGCAAGACAGAACTATTCCTAACCTGCCTGCCTAACCTGGTTTCAAATTAAGCATCTTACAAATTCACCCAGCACCATAAGGCATGGAAACTCCTTACATGACCAGGAATCCGAAATTTGAGAATTTAACAATTCTGTGACTGCTCCTCCGGGCCACCCCACTCGCCCCAGTTGGCTTCTTCCAGAAGGCAGACTGCAAGACAGAACTATTCCTAACCTGCCTGCCTAACCTGGTTTCAAATTAAGCATCTTACAAATTCACCCAGCACCATAAGGCATGGAAACTCCTTACATGACCAGGAATCCGAAATTTGAGAATTTAACAATTCTGTGACTGCTCCTCCGGGCCACCCCACTCGCCCCAGTTGGCTTCTTCCAGAAGGCAGACTGCAAGACAGAACTATTCCTAACCTGCCTGCCTAACCTGGTTTCAAATTAAGCATCTTACAAATTCACCCAGCACCATAAGGCATGGAAACTCCTTACATGACCAGGAATCCGAAATTTGAGAATTTAACAATTCTGTGACTGCTCCTCCGGGCCACCCCACTCGCCCCAGTTGGCTTCTTCCAGAAGGCAGACTGCAAGACAGAACTATTCCTAACCTGCCTGCCTAACCTGGTTTCAAATTAAGCATCTTACAAATTCACCCAGCACCATAAGGCATGGAAACTCCTTACATGACCAGGAATCCGAAATTTGAGAATTTAACAATTCTGTGACTGCTCCTCCGGGCCACCCCACTCGCCCCAGTTGGCTTCTTCCAGAAGGCAGACTGCAAGACAGAACTATTCCTAACCTGCCTGCCTAACCTGGTTTCAAATTAAGCATCTTACAAATTCACCCAGCACCATAAGGCATGGAAACTCCTTACATGACCAGGAATCCGAAATTTGAGAATTTAACAATTCTGTGACTGCTCCTCCGGGCCACCCCACTCGCCCCAGTTGGCTTCTTCCAGAAGGCAGACTGCAAGACAGAACTATTCCTAACCTGCCTGCCTAACCTGGTTTCAAATTAAGCATCTTACAAATTCACTCTAGTGAGTGCTCCCTTCTCATTTGGTGGCCAAAGTATTTGAGCTTCATTTTCATTATCTGGCCTTCCAGGGAACAGTCAGGGTTGATTTCTTTTAGGATTGACTGATTTGATCTTCTTGCAGTCCAAGGGACTCTCAAGAGTCTTCTCCAGCACCATAGTTCAAAAGAATCTATTCTTCGGCGCTCGGCCTTCCTTATAGTCCAACTCTCGCAGCCATACATGACTACTGGGAATACCATTGCTTTGACCATGCGGACTTTTGTTGGCAGGGTGATGTCTCTACTTTTTATCATGCTGCCTAGGTTCGCCATTGCTTTCCTCCCAAGGAGCAGGCGTCTTTTAATTTCATGGCTGCAGTCACCATCATCATGTTACATGTTAATCTGCTGTTAAATCCCTGTCTATAAGTGTGAACTTGACCTACCACTCCACTGTATTTGAAAAAGTGTGCCTTGCAACATGAAAGCTCGTGCCTTGAATACACTTTTGTTGGTCTTAAAGGTGCCTGACTGCATTGGTTCTAGTGCAGTGATGGCGAACCTTTTAGAGACCGAGTGCCCAAACTGCAACCCAAAACCCACTTATTTATTGCAAAGTGCCAACACGGCAATACTGAGGTTTTGCTTTAGAAAAAAACAACTCATACATTAACTTAAGATGATCCAAACAAAATAAAGAAAGCAATCCCAGATGCTTTCATTTACTTAAAATTATTTGGCAGAGAATTCGACACTTCAATGATGGTCTGGGCCTGGCTGGGGGGATGCCACCTCTGGCACCCGTGCGATAGGTTCGCCACCACTGTTCTAGTGGAAAGGGGAAGTGGCACTGCTTGAAAGGGGCGGGCGCGCCACACAGGGATGCTCACAAGACGGGCAGAGTGCGCAAAGGTGGTCTCCATCAGATCTGTGTGCCGTCCAACAAGCACTCGGCGGCGCCAAACCACCACCTCCCCATACACCTCCGCTTGACTTTTTCAGCAAGGCGCGGCCTTCCCGAGGGCCCCGAGGGGAGGCCCAACACGGATCGACGCCGCAGCGCCTGCCGAGGGCCGGGAGCGACCACCTGGGTCGGGAGGCGTCCGCCGCGAGACCCCTCCGCGGGCTGACTGACCGACCCCCCCCCCCCCCCCCAAGGGGCGGCCTCAGCCCGGAGGGAGCCCAGCCAGGCCGGGGCTC